TTTCATTTGTCATTGAATTGATAAGTCAAGACATTATCATAAAGTCTTAGGCTTCCAAGTTTGGCACTTTGGGTTGTTTATGGCCAGCGGATCAGCGGCTCCTGTAAAGCGGTCATCTTTTCCCTTTCATCACACCAGCATCTTGACAGATTATCCATTTAACTTGACCATTTAACTTGTGCGTGATGATGGATATCATCAGATTATCCATCTTGTAGTTCCCTATTGGAATAATTTCTGTTGAATGCATAACTTCTAGTTTCTAGGCTTCAAGATGGCCAATCATGTCGTACTTCAAAATTTTGGATATTTTAGGTTAGATAGAACAGAGAACCATGCTCTACTATTATGAAGAAAACTGTAAATTTTATTCCATTATTTTCTTCTATACTATAACATTGTTCATAGGTTGGGTACTAAATCAGTATTCCCCCAAAAATAGGATAGAAAATATATTTTTAAAATGTTTTGGAAACTTTTCTCCATTTAGGATTCTAGTATCAAATCTAGATCCTATTTCTTCTCCTAGATTTTCTCCTAATATTTCTACATATTTCTTCTCCTAAAGTTTCTCCTAATATTTTTACAACGCGCGTATTTTAACGAATAAAACACATGCATATTTGAACTTAAGAACAAAAACTAAAAAATATTTCATGTGTAAAACAGAGCTCAAATTTTGCAGACATTGAACTCACTTTATTGGTCTGAAAAGTATTGTCCGTGTTGACGGGTTCTGCAGATAAAGTTTCATTTTTGCCATCACTACAGGTAACTCTTGCTGGATAGCCAAATTTACCTAGTCAAGAAACATAAACAGAAAAATTAACAAATTTAGCCATAAACTGAACATTTAAGCTCCTAACTTTGATCTTGACCAGTGAATTTGGCACCAAACAGTAACCAACACATTTTGATATCATCTCCCAATACCAGCAATTTATTTCCTGTTATATGACTTTAGCTCGTCCATTTTGTCCTACATTAAATCACACATTACAGTGTTAAATAATTTAAAATTAGCTTTCTATCATTTCTCTTCGCTTCCAATTTTAAGATGATATTTGCATGTGCTTATTTGGTTCTTATAAATAGCTTTAAGTATCTTTCCACATTGGGTAACATAAACAGACAGGGTACTTGTTAAGTTCTTGAAGATGACTCCAAAAAGAATAGACGATAAGCAGCTAATTACTAATTTTTTTAGGTTTTTTTTTTGCAAAAACTAATTTTTTAGGTTTCTAATTTTTATTTAACAAATTTACTCAAGTACCCTCTTGATATTGACTGAAAATTAACGATTTATGCATAATAACATAAACATATGAAATATATGTAAACAAATTATTTTTCCTTAATTTTTTTTCAATAAGATAGTTGCTTATTGTTTAACAATAAGCACTTTATCTTTCAACGAGAGTGATGACCAATTGATTTGGATCCTCAACCCAACAAGGACATTTACGGTTGGGTCCTTCTATAATTATTTGGTCAAGAATGAGCTAATGGCTCTTTCACTCTCTAAACTCTCTCTCTAAACACTCTCTAAATCTTCTGCCTCAAATGGCTCCTTCCAGCAGTTCTTGGCTGACCAAGCGGGTTTTCTACTATGAGCTCATTCGGTATACGCTTACTCAACATTGAGAACAAATCCTTCGACCTGATCTGTGAAGGAAGAAATGTAGAGTGCATGCGAATTTGCAAAAACGGGAGAGGTTTTAGAAGATTGATTTTCCTCGAAAGATATGAGTTTAGATGGTTCCTGAAAGGTCTCGACGAATTTAAGGTGGAGAAGAAAGTTGAGGAATTGGACGAAAAACCTAGTGAAAAGCAATTACGAGTTGTGGCTAACGCATGGAAAGAACAGAAGAGGAGATTTTTTTGTGTTAACGGTCCATTGTGGTCGGAATACGAAGTGGATTTTCTTTCTGCTGGGAGTCCAGTGGAAGGGATGGTGGAAACTGGTGGAATCCGTCAATCATCTGTTTGCAGGAAACCAAAATTGAAAAGTACACTAAGAAAGTGGTTAAAGGGTTTTGGGGCATTAAAAATTTGGGTTGGCATGAATGATTTTGTCCCAAGAGAGTTAAAGAGGTTGGAATCATCAACTAACTACAATGGTGAAAAGAATGAAGAAAAGATGGACAAGGAATTGAATCTGTTATGTCTATGATTGAAAAGGTTGTATCTTGGAATGTTAGGGGCATAAACAACCAATATAAAAGGTTAGTTCCTCGTGGTTGCTTTCGGAAGTAGAATCCATTAGTCGTCTGTTTGCAGGAAACCAAATGAAAATTACACTAAGAAAGTTGTTAAAGGGCTTTGGGGCATTAAAAAATTAGGTTGGCATGCCATCCCTGCTAATTGTATGGCAAGC